ACTAATATCGATATATTTTTGTCAAATTTTTATGATATCTTCAAACATATATTTTATTCAAAAATAAAAACATCATCGCTTTCTCAAAATCACATAAAACCATATTATAACATCGACTGAGATAAAAAAATATAATAAAATATTAAAATCACGATGTATCTCGCGACATTCCGCAAATACGCTTCTAATAATTATTAAATACGTGTAAAATAGAGATTGATGTAGACGGGAGGAAAAGCGATATTGATGGAGGTGAATGGCATAAATATTTAGAGGAAAAGGAAGGGTGTACTTTTTGTGCAACTGTTTTCTTCTTCACATTGCTGGCTGTCACTGGATCCCTCTCTAAATATTTGACCCAATTAATTCTCTTTTGGTACACCCAATTTCAATTCTTATTTAATTTTTTGGACACGTGTCAATAACATATTTATTTTCTTTAATTTTCAAATTCAAATCCATTTTGTATTTTAGGTTACAAATATGTCAAAAACAAGTAACAAAATAATACAAATAAATGATTCGATAATTGAAAATACGCTTGAACGAGCCGACGCTTATAGGCCCTACCACCCGAATCTAAGGACCCCAATTCGTCAAAATATTGATACCCTTTCTCTCATATTTAGGTCCCACATTTTTATTAAATTAAATGCATATTCTTTAATAGCATTCATCAATTTTTCGCTATCAATTTACCATTATACATATATATTTAAATAAAAAAATTCTTTTACAAGAAAAAGATATGATCCATGGCGGAAAAACATTAATATCAGCAGTACTCAAAGTTAAAGCAGATTAAATAATATGACAAACGTATAACATTTGGAATATATTACTGTATATCAGTGCATTAGCGTACAAGCATTACCTTTCATGCCTTCTGTAAAGAGAAACAGTTTAATATTTTTTTAGTGTACGCTGAGTTTTTGAAATGAAGTTGGATTATTTATTTACTATTTGTGTCAGGAAATTTTCTAACTGATTATGAAATAACAGTTTGGGAAATAGTATAAAACTGACATACAATAAATGGTATAATTTTATTGAAAAATATTATTTTAATTATTTAATTCTACTAGAAAAGTAAAATTAAGATTTTTATAGCATAATAGAAACGGTCGGAATTATAAGAGACAATTATTTAGTGTTTTGTCAAAATGTTCAGAGTTGACTTGTGGGTCATAAGGTAGGGTTAGTTCCGGTTAGATCCAACATTCCTTTTTCGTAAATATTTCAAACGCTATATTACAAATTTAGTCCCTCAACTATGTCTTATCTTCAATGTTTACATCAACACTTTAATTTGTTGTAATTTTAACCATCGTTTGTTAAAATTAACGAGATTCTGTTAACAAAAGTCGCATGCACATACATGTTAAAAAGAATGGCCTAGCTGTAAACTTTTTGACACTTTTCTTTAACCTTTCACCTAAGAATAAAACCCTGGTTTAATTTTCTGTCATTACTAAATAAACCATAGAATTAAACGACGAAAGTGATTATAAAACGATAATTTGAAGTGTTTTTTTATTAACCTGGATATCCAACCCGCTATGCAAGCCGACTAATCCCAGGACGACCACCCGCTTTGCAGGTAGCCCGGAGTCATCGCATTTGAACTTCCGTGGAAGTGTTAGTAAATGATGAAAAGGTTTTTGTTCTCCGCTTCTCTTAATCTTCAAAAAATTTCTCACAGTCTTTTGTTTGGAAATATATACAACAAAACT